AGGAAGGAAGGAAGGAAGGAAGGAAGGAAGGAAGGAAGGAATAAAATGGAGGGTGGGAGGAACATTCAAAGATTGATGGATTGATGAATGGAAGGATGGATGAGGGAGGGATGGAAGATCCAAAGAAAATGGATGGATGGATAGAAGGAGGGAGGGAGGGAGGGAGGGAGGGAGGGAGGGAGGGAAGGAAGGAAGGAAGGAAGGAAGGAAGGAAGGAAGGAGGGAAGAATAAAATGGAGTGGGAGGAAGGAATATTCAAAGATTGATGGATTGGATGGGTGGATGGAAGGAATATTCAAAGAAGATGGATGGATGGAAGGAAGGAAGATTAAAAGAAGATGGATAGATGAGTAGATGGATGGATGGAAGGAAGGATGGACAGGCAGAAAGAAGGAAAGAAGGAATAAAATGGAGGAAGGGAGGGAGGAATATTCAAAGATTGATGAATTGGGTGGGTGAGTGGATGGATGGATGGAAGGAAGATTCAAAGATTCAAAGAAGATGGATGGAAGGAAGGAAGGAAGGAAGATTAAAAGAAGATGGATAAATGGTAGATGGATAGATGGATGGAAGGAAGGACGGAAAGAAGGAAAGGAGGAAAGAAGGGATAAAAGGGAGGAATATTCAAAGATCGATGGATTGGGTGGGTGGATGAAAGGAAGATTCAAAGAAGATGGATGGAAAGAAGGAAGAAACATTCAAAGAGGGAGGGAGGGAAAATGGAGACAGAAAAGAAGGAAGCTCCATTATTATAACTCTTAATTTAGCAATCATTGATAATTGAAAACAATGGCTTACAACCCGTCCTCACACTTACGGCTGCCATAAAAACCCCATGGCCATGTGGTCAACATTCAACAAAGCCATTGGCCAGCTGTTTTAAGGCCCTTTTCTGAATGGTCTGAGATGAAGTTAAACAAACTCTTTGAAAAACATTTAAAGCCCACAAACACAGAGGCCCGTCCAACTTAAAAAAACTCGGTCCGTGCATCAAAATCCACATGCTCGCAGGCGGATAGACACACACAGGAAAAGCAACACTAAAAATATCCTCCATCTGCAAGTTTCCCATTTTGCAGCCGAGGGGGGAGGAAAAACACAGCTATTTTCTTCTGCTGTTCATGCATTTCACTCCTTTTGCAGTCTCTCTCTCTCTCTCTCTCACACACACACACACACAGGCCTGGCCATGAGCTCCTGGTTATTTTATTTTTTTCAAATTAACAAAACAGAGTTTCAAAACTCTGGCTTTTTTTTTTTTTTAATGCAGGAATCAAAAGAACCCTGCTATAAAACCCTCTAACAACCATTGCAAAATTTGAAAGGAAGAACTGACTAAGCATGGATGGAAGACAATGCAAAGCTCAAAAATTCAAACAAAACTTGAGAATTCTCCTGAACGAACCTCACGGAGATTAAAATATCCCTTTCACAGATCTGGTCCCTTCTCAGAAAAGCCCCCTCAAAGGTTGGAGCCGGGGAGCCAAAGACAACTGCGGCACTAAATAAAGCCACCAAAATAGCAGCGCTGTTTGAAAGTTACTTAGGGAGATCTAATCCAGAGATCCTGTAGAACTTCCAGATGTTTCTCGGTTTCGGTTCCCAACATCTCTTGTCGCTGTTTTGCAATGTGACACACACAACATGACACATTCTTTAAGGGGCGACGTAGGTGGCACTGCAAGACAAGCCTAGAGAAGATGCTTGGAAGATACCAGCTGGCATTTTGGGGGGGTGTTGTGGTTCGTCGGCAGTCGGTGCAGACGGCACCAGAGTCGGACAGTGGGGAAGAACGGGGACCAGTCTGGGAGTCTGAAGAGGACTCGGACGAGGGTCCTGCATCCGATGCAGAGATGAGGCCAGGACCATCTGGGATAGGGGTGCTGCCTTTGGAGCCTTGGGAGTCTGGCAGCAGCAAGGCAGAGGAACGAGGGGAGCCTGTTCTCAGTGCACGTGTGCGCAGAGCTGCTAGAAGTCAAGAGCAGCTGAAGCAGAAGGGGCGACTCGGGAATAAAGGCTGGGAGGTGATTGCCCCTCCCATAAGGGATAAAAGTCAGGCCAAGAAGACGAAACCTTTGCAGGAAGCAAGGTCATTCGATCGGTTCCAAGTCATCCTTGAAGCTCTGTGTACTTTGGTTGGTTTTTCTTGTAGTTTAGCTGATTTCTTTTCTAGTTACTTTGATATTTCTGTTTTGACAGCACTTCACAGAACCCCTAAACACGAGTTGGATTAGCAACTGAACTGCCACTCAATGCAGTGAGGAGGGTATAATTCAGAAAAGGATGCCCAATATAATTCTGGCATACAATAGAAGGAAACGATCTGCAGGCTCTGGAACAGCAGCCAACGAACTACAGCCATCCTTGACTCACAATTATTCCTGGTTCCAACAGCACCGAAAAAAGTCATTTATGAGCAGTTCTCAAACTCACAACCTTCACAGCATCCCCACAGTCAAGTGATCAAAAATTTGGGCACTTGGCAACTGGCGTGTACTTATGACGGTTGCAGAATCCCAGGGTCACGCTATCACCTTTACCACCAGCTTTGGACCAGCAGAATCAATGGTGGAAGCCCGTTTTGCTTAATGACCGCATGATTCACTCTGCAACTGCAGTGATTGTCTCAACGACTGTGGCAAATCAGGTCATAAAATCAGTGACTCACTTAACTGCCTTATTCATCTTCATTTAATGACCCCCATAATCCTTTGCATTGGAGTGGAGTCTGGGCAACTGAATGAAGCCGAGTGTTTATTGGCCGGATGCCCTCCCTGTTGCCAATGCGGAGTTCTATTCAGCAGATATATTCTCATCATTCCCAGAGAGACTTAACTGCCTTGATCAGCACAATGGAAATTCTAGCCCTGATTGTGGACTTAAGTCAAGGATTACTTCTTAGTAAGTTATTAAGCTGAGTTAGAGAGGCAGTGCAGAATAGACCCTCTTATCTGCAGCTTTCCTACTATCAGTTAACGGTGGCTGATTGTTTACATTGTCAGAATTCCTGTCCACCTTTCAGAAGAGTTGACCAAGTCAACTTGGGTTCTTTTTCAGGTATGCAACGTGTCGGTCATCCCTTGACCAAAGGAGCACATAATAACACCTATGGCGCATGAGAACATCCATCCGTAATCAAACCAACCAATGGCAACTCATGAAATCTGTCAGGACTTCAAGCAGCCACTGAATATTCTACATCTTAAAACATAGAATAACAGAGTTAGAAGGGACCTTGGAAGGTCT